CAGATCTACACACATAACTCCTATTTAATGTCTCATAATAAAATTAATGTAGCGCATTTGGCTCGATGTAGATGGTTTCTACATTTTCTTTGCGATAATGACAACAGTACTTCAGGAGTAAGGAGATTACGATTCAAGCTGGAGTTACCAAATAACCTAATTGTCGGATTAGTTCCACCGCTATATCTATTAATTGTTTTGAGTGCTGCCTAAATTTGAGAACGCGCCTGATTATTAGTAATACAGGCCTTCCAGTAACTTGTCTGCAGATGTTTGAGTTCGCTACTACGACACCACCTCACTGCTGATATCCAGCTTTGATAAAAAAAAGGCCTCGAAAAATTAAGCTTCTCGTACATTTCCGAATTATGCATGCAATTATGCATGAACAAAGTCGCCCGACTACCGTAGTAGTAGTATATGTAAATATTTTAATAAGCGAAACATCTGAGAATAGTGTCAACTACGATCGTACCTCTCAACCTCACATATCATACTCCTCAGTTTGAGGTTTCGGTTTCGGCTGAAACCAGAGTTGGACCGAAATTTCCCTACTGGCAAGCATTAACGGGCTATGGGTGCAAAACTTTATGGCACCTAGACTTTGACAACTTAACCTGAAATCAATGTGCCTCCAGCAAGACATAACAACGTATTACATAGCTAGAAAAAGAGTGGATATTTTGCTGATAACTAATGGAAAATGTAATCAAGATTTGTGTATCCTACAGAGGTGGGCACCCACGTGATATTATACTCCAGTTTTACTACTTCAGTTTAGTGTACTTGTATTTATATAATAATAATAATAATAATAATCGACTTTATTAGGGGTGAAGTTTAGCATTGTGCTATTCTGCCACGCAACCCCAAAAAAAGGTGTACAAAATGCAAAACATAAAGGTTTTCAATGTTACAAGAATGAACTAAAACATAGGTATACAAAAATAGGTATAAAAATGTGTTGCGTCAAGATATCTATCAAACCGCCCACAATCTGTCCAGATTTCAAGACTACTTAGCAAGGAAATGCATATTAAGTGTGGTGTCCCACAACGAACAATCTTAGGTCAACTACTGTTATGTATCAATCGATATTTTCCAAATGATTTGTGTGGGTAAAATAGTTTTGCAGATGATACTGCAATATTATATGAAGGCGCTGACTGTCTGATCTAGAAAATGTATTTGAAAGTGATTTTCTCAATATTATTTTGTGGTTTAATAGCAGAAAATTAAGCATCAACTATTCTTAAACACATTTTTTGCCGTTTGTATCTTAAGCCAGGCATTTGTCAAAGTAAGCAAATTTCTTCTTCATTAATGATCAAAAACTGCAAATGAATAGAGTGCTAAACAAAAAATACCTTGGATTAGTATTGGATATAAGATAGCTTTATTTCTTACACAGTATCACTCACTACCATAAATTTGTCTACACCTACCAAAAAATTAGTAGTTCTTCAGCTACATAAATCTATAATCAGTCATGTCTCTTTTAGCGCCAAAATTTTATGAAGACTTGAAAGATGTACATTTCAAAAGACATTTGAAAAAAGAGGTTATATTCTATATCTAGGACTGAAATTCAGGAACATCAAGTGGATACATAATCAATTGTGACTCAGTTTTACCCTATTTTGTATTTGTATTCTACTTATTAAATTATTGGTCCATGCACATGCAATGCCTCCTGTCGGGCCTGTTCTTATTCCAGATTTATTTACTCATGCTGTTCTCTTTGTACATTTAGTGAATAAATATTCTTATATTATTATTATTATCTTGAATGAAAATGTGCAATATAATAGGAATACATACAAAAGATATGAAATATAATATTAGCATTGAATCATTTTTGTGAAATGGGTGGTAAACTTGAGCAAATCGAAAAGAATATTCATCCAAAATATGTTTTTTGACACGTCTTATGACTTCATCATAGGTATGTTAATAATTTAAAAGTTTGTGGAATTTCATTATAATGAATAACTGTATGTGAAACAACTTCGGAAGAATGAGGTGTAGAGAGTCTCCGTGAAATAAATGTTCTTTCAATATACAGGCTTTTGACTGACCTTCCAAATAACTAAAACTTACCACCTATATAGAAGTGTCACCATTTTTGAGATATTTACTTTTTTCTTAAATTTAAAAAAACGAACCTTTTTAATCTGTGTTCTTTAGCTGTATGTACAAATAAGGTTATACTTTGTTCATTTTTTCTATAAAATAGGTGTACTTCTAGATAGTTGCTTTATCATATACAAATGCAGTTAAAAGATATTAAGGAACCATGATAAAAAATAATTCTTTTGTATTGTTACTGACTCGAGTCCAAGTTTCATTAAATCATATCAGGAGCAGGTAATCATAATGTAGCTTTATACTATTTAGCATGTCACTGATCGGTAACCAGCGCAACTTGAATTTATATCCAATAATATAATGCAGTTATAGACCAGTACATTTTTGTTTCACCACAGATGGTCAAAGTTTAGAAAAAAATATCAGAAGATTATAAATCCCAAAATATTTCTGATTTGATCATGGTTCCTTAATATCTTTTTACTACGTTGCATTTGTATATGATAAAGCAACTATCTAGAAGTATTTTATAGAAAAAATGAACAACGTATAACCTTATTTGTACATGCAGACCACATATGAACAGGTTCGGTTTTTTTAAATTTAAGAAAAAATTCAATATTTCTAAAACGGTGACACTCTTAAATAGGTAAGTTTTTATTATTTGGGAGGTCAGCTCGAAGCCTACCTTCTCCTTAGGTTTGTCGTGGTATATGGTTTGTAGATATCGTTCTATTTTTCAGAAATGGAAGTAGGTTAGAGGGTTACTGATGAATATACGATTATGATGAAAGGTAGAGATAGAGCTCTGAGTGGATTTCAAATTAATAAGACAGTAGAATCTCGGAATCACTACAGAGGACTGAGTTTTTCAACAACACCATTTGGTAATACACGGAAAGGATTGAGCATGATGAAAGGGATCGTTTCTCTGATGATAGTTTTACCTTTAAGCAAATTAACAAGGCTGATTTAATATTAATTTTTCGGTATCTAAAATCGAATGCGTTAGGGAACGATGGTGTATCACGAAGAATGCTTAAACTATGCTACCCTGGGATATCAGACCATATCCTATATATTATTAATACGTGCTTAGAGAAAGGTGTTTTGAAATCGGAATGTATCTTTGCTAAGTTGACCGAGCTATCTATGTTAGCTATTGCATCTAATGTTCTCCCTTTAATGGCTCATCTTGTCAATCCTATACACAAATGTGTATAGGCAAGATTCCGCACAGTGCTCAACTATGCAAAATTTCCACTAATTGGCTTCTGTTGGAGCAAATTTCAATTTGAGGGGAGCGCGAGCTCAGGATTCAAGGAGAAATGGAGTATACACTATTATTCAAGATGATTTGTAGTATATTATCAGCGGAATTCGAGAGCCTTGGCGCTGTACATGAAAGAGTTTAATAGGTCGCCGAGTAGTGAAAAGGGAAAAATATAGAGGATTGTGCTGTAGTTAGGGTGTTTTTTGTATTTGATAGAAAACCTCGTCAACCAGGTACCGTTAAGGTCCTACAATATCTCGTTTCCAAGGAATCGCAATACGGTGTTGTAACTTGAGCGCGACCATTTTGAGAGGTTAGGGTCCATTTTGCCGTGAATTCTTTGATTTTGGTATATTGGGTACTGCCCAATCAGATGTTCTACCGATAGAGGGGCGTTGCAGGATGGGCTAGCCGGTGGGTTCTTTCTTTCAAATAGGTAGCTGTGTCTCACCAGGGTATGTCATAATATGTGAAGTTTGGTGAGGACGATGTGATCTCTTCTGCTTTCCGAGAAATGAAGTTTGGTGCCGATTAAGGGCAAATATTGCTTGGTTTGAGGCCCATTGTATTTGCCACTGGTTCTACATATATTTTCTGATAAGCGCTTTAAGGTCGTGATATCGGGTGTCGCAGCTCGGTTAGCCTTTTCGTTTCCTGGGGTGGAACCCACAAGAATTTTATTGTTTTGAATAAAGTGTTAGATGATTCATTTGCTCCTTTATTTTCATAATGATGTGGTCATTGGGGTACATCTATTTAATTACGATTTTCTATGGAAATATTTGATTGTTGAAATATGGTTGTAGAGTTCTTTTTTTATTGATTTTCACTGGACACCTCGTACCTCCCCTAAGCTACGTTAAGTCTGTCTTGATGGTCTTTCATCGTTGGACAACTGGCAATAACAACTGCTGGGAGAATTTACCTGATAATTTGCGGCTATACTTTGTCCCGAAATTTTAAGAAGAAGAAGAAATTCAACGCTTGTAAGATCCGACCAAACTGTCCTAAATAAATTGCGATCAGGTTGCGATAAATTATACCAGATAAATAGCGGAGTTGAAGCAACTATAAATTTATTTATGCACAATCGGCTGGTGAGGTACATTTCATGAATGAGTGGGAGCACTAAGCCTCACTTTTCAGCCCAAGGATTTCTTTATGCTCAAGTGGCAACTTTTTATAAGCTAACCTATACTGAACTCATTACATTGACCACGGGAATCGTCCTTATTTAATCATTGCTAGGCAAAGCCACCCTAAATTTTCAATTCTAGCAGGTCGTGAAAAAAAGTCATATGTTATCCGGGTGTAATAAGCGTTTGTCACTTAGATACGTAAATAACTATATGGTCAACGTTTGAGGACCGGTTACGTCTGGGAGTCTCAGACCAATTGGCCACGTCTTCAACGGTTTCTTTAAAATGAAACAAACTTGAAAAACGATCAGTCAATTATGAAAATGGAATTAAAATGTTTCAAAAATTCTTCTAGGAATGGATAACTTCTGAAAATGATGAAATTATAAATAATTCTTCATTTTGTAGTTGAAAGTTTACTGTCATATGGGAAATCGGTGAGATTTCATCTTCATATAAAAAGATGACGTGTTTCCATTGGAGAGTCATATACCTCTTACTTGCTGCTCGCACCCACAAACACTGCTATCCATACATTTTAGGATGAAACTGTTGCAAGGGGCAGCCCTGTGTGACCTCAGCATGGCTTTTGACTGTGTCGAACATGATACTCTTCTGAATCGGCTAGCATTTGCTGGTACAAAAAACAGTCTTTAGAATGGTTGCGGACTTTCTTGGCAAACAGAAAGCAGTATGTAGCGATACTTCACTTAAACTCTGGTGGTATACTAGGGCTGAAGTTAATTCTGGGATTGGAGAATGCTTGATGGGTATCCCACAGGGGACTGTTCTGGCACCCGTTTTATTTTTGATCTATACAAACGAGCTACCTACCGTTGTACTTGATGCATTGGTAACTTCATTTGCAGATGATACCTCAATTGTAGTTTCTGGTTCTTCCGAGGAACAGTTACAAGACATTGTAGATGTTTCACTGTCTAGGCTGCACAACTGGTTTCAAAATAATAATTTATATCTAAACCCTAACATGACACAATGGATTACATTTCGCATAAGGCGAAAGCTTGTAACGAACTAAGTTTCGAATTGAATAGTATTAGTGTCAATAATGTGAAATATAAAAAATTCCTTGATATGTATTTGGATTCCTGTATGGAGTGGAAGCAGCATTGAGACTATGCAATAACGAGGCCTGATTCATTATATCACCTATTATTAAATTTAGGAGATATGCTACCATTCAGTCAATTAATTAGTTTGTATCATGCACAGGTTGACTTACACAGTTAGTGCTAAACATCGTAGAGATCGGTTTAAGTGTTTCAAAGTACCTACTGGTTTCTATATATTGGGAACTTGTTTATATATTTTTAAAAATAGGGAAAAGTTCCCAACACACGGCCAAATGCATTCGATTAATTCGAGGATTAGTGAATTTTTTTATATACTATCTTATAGAACTAACATTATGAGTAAGTCCCAAAAATTTTCAACCTACTGCGTTTCGACGGCTCCAACGAAAACTGTAGTAGCTCAAATCTTCCAAGTTCTGAGAGAATGCTATTAAACTGTATATTCACAGCTTATCTAACTAGGAATAATATTTATTATAATTATTTTGAATTATCTAATAATTATTACTGTGCCCTAAATGAATCTATTATTGATTAATCGATCAACAAAGTATCAAAGCTTTTACTTAAGACGCCGATCTATCACAGTTGCTTGAACCTTTAAATTCGATTTACTCAAAACTATAGATGATATGGAGTTACAACAGTTTCCGTTGGACCCGTCCATTTGGAAATAGAGAAATTTCACAATCTAAAGGCATTCAAGAATCTATTAAAAGGCTATTTAATTGAAAGCACATTTTATACTGTGGAAGAATATTGTGACATATGCTTTTTTGTATTAGATAATTAGATATTGGTTTTTAGATTTAAGTCGAGAATGTATGACTCTTGCTATACAGTGTTTTTTGTCGAAATGAAATAAATAAATCAGTTTGATCTGTTGCATTGTAGTAAGAATTTCGAGCTTTATACTACAAAATAATGAATACCTTCCATTTAAACGTTGGACTGCAGAAGAAAAGTCAGGATAGCTCTATATTTAACCAAAATGCTGTATAATCGCATACTGCTATATTTATTCTTAGTAATAGTAGAATGGTTATAAGAAGCGGAACAGTGAAGTTATGAGGTAGAAGAACACACAGGTAACATCTGGTATGGTATTATAAGATTCTATATATTTCTACATTTTGATTATGGATTCAAATACTGTGGTTGTCCTTGAGAAGTGTACCTGGAGAGAGCAAAGTTAAAAACAAATTTATACAAAATAAGTATTTTTAAGTAAAATATATATAATACACATATGTAACGCTCTATTCTCAGAGACACTAACTGGCGAACAACCTGGCTCTCTAGTTCAGCAACTCCTCGGGCGCCAGCCTCCTGTTTAGAGTGTGGAGACAACACTATAGACTGAAACAGTCACCTGGGTAGCTTCAGTGAAGAAAATAATTCAGGGATTTGATGCTTCACGCTCAAAGGATCAGACTCGAGATACTTACTATTTACTTTCTACTTCTACTACTTCTCTTTTTGTATCTCTTACTTCAGGCAGGACGGTATTTGTGATTAAAAGCAAGACTTAAAACACAACCTGGTATATTAACAGCAAATATATAAACATCATGCACGGTCGGGATATCTCAAGTTATATGTACAAATGAGAGAAATCCCTATCTGAATCTAGCTACCCTAGAGATAGAGCGGAGAAGGAGGACAATCGGTTAACTCTGGGTCAAACGGAATCAGAAGCGGTTAAAAAGCAACGGTTAAAGCGGAAGCAGTATGCGGTCAAGCTAGCAAGCGGTAATGGTGTGATGCGATAAGCCCAAAGCGATGAAAGATTTTCAGTAATATGGTTATGTTTGGGTGACCAGGCGTTTAGTTATCCCGCGTCTACTTCAAGCTCTGCTTGTCTCGTTCTCCCTTGGATTTCAATCTGCACCCCAGGGAAGTAAGCACACTGCAGACAAAGATGTGCCTCCCTGACTTGCTTCTTGAACCCCAGAGCAATTATAAAACTCCTAAAATCAAGCCGCGTACTATCGCTAATGGACCTTTACTAAACAAAATTGATAGCTTCCGCATGAACGTGTTTACCAAACCTTTAAAACAATAATATTGGAGACACAACATTTTGTGACACAATGACTCAACCTATAAAACACTTCTGTATATCTGGAACTTTGCGGGGATGGTAAGATCACAATTAGATATTGGTTAGTTCTGGGACCTTCAGGGACGTAAAGATATATTACTTTGAAGTTGAGTCATTAATTTTCAGATAATGATTGTAGAAGGAAGATAAACCAAAATATGTGTGTAAAAATAAAAAAAAATAAAAAAAATGTTACCTTGTTTTATAAGGTATCCTCCTGACAAGTATTTCAGTGCGGAACTGTATTTGATCGTGCGGTCTTGGAGCACCGGCATGCCTCCCCTGTGAGGTCTTAAGTCACCTGATTCACGAGCCCTTTGTACTACATCAACAAAGGCACGAGGGGTTGGTTGCACTCGATTGGGAAACCGATCCGCATAAATCCGCGATGACGCGGCAGCATTTTGTAAAGACTCCCCCTCCCGTAAATAAGAATCATGTGCACAAGTTCAGCATTTTCGTAAACATGTGCCATTTTTTATTTAGTTTGAGCCATGCAACAAACACCACTATTCACTCACGCGTTACCGACTGACACATTGACTGAATACAACTGAATAAAATTGTTTGTTTCAAATTCTTTCGCTTTTTTGTTTCCGATGCGATGAACTGATAAGGCGGATTATATCCATCCGTTGTTGCCAAACACGAGCACGTAATATTATTATTGAAATAGGGCGGTACTCAAACTTCTAAAGGGCTATAACTTTGTTACTTTAATTTTACCACAAAAATGTTAAAGGAAAAAAACATTTCTTTTGATCAGATCTACTCACTGTTAAAATAAATGACTCAACTTCGAAGTATAATTTGCAAGGCCAACCAGAAATAAAAACACCTTTTGCTTTCGGCTTCCAGTTTCCTGAAATAGAACTTCACCGCGTGATTGACATTAAGGTTAAGTCAGTACATATTCCAGACAGTCGCCAGGTGTACCGAGGTTCCACTAGTCACTTCCGAAAGACAAGGTGTCTAACTTAGGTGGGAGTCCGGGGATACCTGGCTTAATCAGGAATATCCTGATCTCTCCGGTTTTCGCAATTACAACCGAGTATGGCCTGCCTCGCCAGTTATTTCCGAAACCTTGGTGTCTAACTTGCGAGGGAGGGAGTCGAACTCAGAAAAATTGAGAATACTGCCTGGTAGTTGCGGTCGGGTATGTCGAATCCCCAGTCGGATGTATAAATATGTGCAAATAATCTTCAATAATAGCGCTTATGGAGGTCCCGGAGTACCGCAATTAACCAACACTGGCGCGCAGAGTCTACCTACTTGACACAAGTCGAAACGTAGATAACAAGATTTAATAAGCAATATCTCATTTACGCCGTTCCCGTTTTAAGTTTCTTTCCTTCAACTCGAATTCAAAACAATTCACTAAGGCTTAAATATAGATTTCGCTAAGGCTGATAAACCCATTCATAAACGGTTTGTTCTAAAATATTATCAAAGACTACCTCACAGTTATTTTTTATTTCCTTCAGTAAACTAGTTCGGTCAATATTCAAAAGTAAACGGGAAACAAACAACTCTTTTCTCAAAATTCGTATGTCAAAGATATATACTGAAAACGGTACACTACAATTTCTATGACTAAAGAACGAGTCAATCAGATAAAAATAAAATCACCCGGATTGTGGATTAGGCTTTATACGGTTAGAAAATTTCAACAACAATAAATAAATCCAGAACCTGAAAAATACTTCACTTACGGTTATCAGAATTACACCTATATCACTAAAATGGAACGCACTGGTTTGAACGGTTAAACGGAACACCCTTGTAACTCACCCCCTTACCTCTTGGTACAAGCGGGTGCTTCGGTACTCCGGTTTCTATCAGGAGAGAAGAACGGAAAAGTGCTCGCCAATGTTCTAGAACCGACCTTGGTCGCTACGTCATGCCGTCCGCTACTGCGAATCTTCTTGACGTCGTGACGCCGACGTGGTGCATTTGATTGAATCAAAAGTATTTCTATTCGATTCCTTATCGCGTACCCTTTTAAATTGAGTGCCCACTCCCCTAGGGCATCTCTTTCCAAAGGGCTAGATCAGACCCTGCAGGGTTTCAAGACCCAAAAGGGCCTATAGCCAGTTCTAGCGTCTCCCCGACGTGCGGCAGTGCATCAGCTCCGTACAGGTTGCAATTCCCGCACGTTGACCACTCTAAACTGCATTTAAACCAGGACTACAACAAAAAAGGACCTTAGTGCGTTTTTGCCCACTGTTAGGGACCTTACAGGCCCCACAACACCAAGAGGGTTGTGTGACAAGGCCTCCAAGGCATCGGGATGTGGAACAAAGACCTCTCATTCGTTATACGGACACTACATGCCTACTTCAGCCAGTGCCTCGATACGCCACTTTGGCGTATTGTTTTTCGACTGCAAATCCCTGAACCTATTGGTCCTGCCACACAACGCATTCCTGACGTCCT